TCAAATGCCCATGGGGCCAGGCTGTTGATTTAACTGGCAAAGGTCAACACAGGAAGGTCTGTAAAAAAAAACTAGCAAGGACTTGTCCAATCTCTTTAGTACATACAACCTCCTCTCCGGGTAGGCTATTTTTACATAGTGTGACTGTATGCAGGCAGATATACTCATTTTCAAGAGAAACTGGAATATGCAATATTTCAATGCAAATATTTCACATCTTAAATATAGGCTACAAACTACTTTTTTAAAAACTCTTCTTTGTGGGCATTTTGTTCCATGTTTTTTGTTGTTGTTTGTTTTGGTTTGTTTTTTTGTTTTTGTTTTTGTAATCCCAGCACATCCATAAGATGGATGTTGGCTTTGAGACCCATGATTGTCCACACCCACTCATAACCAGAGTCCGGGGCTGGAAGGTTTGTGGATCATTGAAGGAAGACCCTACCAAAGCGTGTGCATTCTGCCTTCACCACGATGCCTCTTCCCAAGTGGTACTTAACCTCCGAAGGGCAGAACCCCACCACAGGAGCTTTCTTTCATAACGCCCTGCTTTTTCTGATGACGTGATGACTGCTAAATGCAATTGATGAAGTGGGTTTCTGTTCCCTCCCCTGCTCTTGAGTGGCTGTCCAGGGGACACTGCCAATCCTGATGGGAGTCCCTCGCACTGACTGACCATCTTCAGTGTTTTTCAGTGTTCAGGGCTGTTATCAAAGGACTAATCAGGCTTCTGGCCAAACCAAGGCTTCCCAGCACCAAGGGACAGGAGTTTATCCTCTCTCTGGGAGTTCAGAATGAAGGAATAAGTTGTCTTCCTGCTTTGGCCTGTCTGGGTGGTCAGCCCCAACTTCAGAGAGCCTTACAAACACGGGCCACGAGGTTACCTAGAGAAGAGAATGCTCGTGATAGGCAGCTATATTTGATCTCTCATAAATGATTCATTTTCCCCCCGGACAGCAGTTTTCAGTCCGCTTCTCAATTATATATGAATCAGCAATATATACCTCACCTCACTGATGTCCTGTACAAATACCTCTTCCTTAACCAGCATGATTACTGCCTGCTGAGAAGTGCTATCACACCATGTAAATTTTTAAGTTTAAACCACCCGGGGCTTTATACTTCCTTTAAAAACAAAGTCAAATTCTGCAGCTCTTTTAGGTGGGGGAGGGGGGAGTGCGTGGGATGGTTGTAAACTTTCTATATTGAACAGGCGGTAATTCTGGTGATTCTCCTTCGTCCTCTTTTTTTTTTTTTTCTCCCTTTCTGAATTTGAATTCTAAGCTAAAAATTACCTAGTTCTTCAGGTAAATAAAACCCTCTTGTCCAGCACATATCTTAACAACTCGGGATTGAAATGAAGCTGAGGACGTGAGGTCACTTACACACTCTGTCCCTCTGAGAGATGGTGACTGCAATAGGCACCTCACAGAGTTGACGAGAGGAATCGGAGAAGAGTTGATCACTCCCTGTGAAGTGCTGACTGCTCTCGGGCACACAGACAGATCTCCACAAATGACACCACTCTCCTCACCACTAAGTGAGAAGCAGAGGTGACTTCTCCCTGACTCTTACATTCACTCAGTAATACCTGCTCTGGGCCCTGTTCTCAAGAGAGAGAGCCCACGCTCATAATGACCACAGTTTATTGCATCCAGGTTAGTTTCAGAGAAAATGTTTGCCTTCTTTGTAGGAGCTTGGAAAACAGCGTCACCAGAAATATGATCACTTACTTCCCACTGGCATTTTATTTTCAAATGTTCAAGATAAGTATATTGTATAGATAAAGAATATGCTTTTTGTCCTCAAGGGAGTGCTAGCTTTATTCAGGAGCAGGAGACAGGGACTAGCTGGCCGTGCATCGAATGTTTCCAACTAACAGAAGCTGCTCCTCAGCTTAGGAAAATGAGATTTTCCTCCATTTACTTTTAGACTTGCAACAATTCTCAGGCTGTGGGTCTTGACCATTTTGAGGGGGTCAGATATCCTGTATATCAGATATTTACATTACAATGTATAACAATAGCAAAATTACAGTTATGAAGTAGCAACAGAAATAATTTTATGGTTGGGGTTACCACATGTGAGGAACTGTATTAAAGGGTCAAAGCGTTAGGAAGGTTGAGAATCACTGCTTTAGAGGAATCTAGTTCCCTTTTCATTTGACAGGTAATACATTTGCCTTTGAAGATGAAAACATGGCATTTAAGTTGAAAGACACTCAACTTTTTAGGACCAAGATAAATTGAAAAGAATCAAGTCTTTCTACAAAACTTGTGAAACACTGAAGGTGAAATAGTGAGAACTTGAAGATAGGGGCTGGAGGTGGAGTTCAGAGGTAAAACATGTGGTCCTGGAATCAATCCCCAACAATGCCAGAGAGGAGGGGAGCTGAGGAGATGGCTCAGCAGTTACCAAACATGTGTTGCTCTTCTAGAGGACCCAGGTTCGATTCCAGGCACACATGGTGGGTCATACTGTATAAAACCCTAGTTTCATGAGATGCAATGCCCCCTCCTGGCCTCTTTATGTGCCTGGTACATTTAACATACATATAAGCAAAACACACACACACACACACACACACACACACACACACACACACACAAAGTTGTTTGTTTCTTAATCTTTTAAAGAAAGAAAAATTTGTTTTGTTTTTTTTACTTTGTTTTGTTTTGGTCAGTCCTTTATCAACTGAGTAATACTGAAATGTCTGACCAGGACGGTATTATAGTCTTCCCACCATATTGACATTTCAGACTTTTTCACATTTCACTGGGTTATTCCCAAGCTGATTCAACATGAAATGGCAAAGTAAGGTCACCAGTAATTGTCCTTTCACGGCTCTGCAGCTCTGATGAGTCAGTGCAGTGCAGACCTCTGAACCATGTGCCACCAGGAATAGATGCCCAATGGGAAAATAACAGCCCAAGAGCCACAGCCAAGGGAAGAGCTCGGGACTCACAAGTGTGTTTACAGCTCTGGGACCTGGTGTTGGCCATGGTCATCCAGGGTCCTAGATTTCTCACATGTAACACAAGGTTTCAGGGACCTCTTGGCAAAACCAGGTCAGCTTCAGAGTTTGACACCCATAAAGTGAGACGGGAGGCTGCATTTTAAGGGGATGGTGATTTCCGATGTCATGATCTAAGTAATTATAGTAGTTTTATGCACTCCTGGAAGCCGGCAGTGGCTAATGAGTCAGACTTGATGGGAGCTGTTGAAGATCTGCAGTGCTTTTGCTGTTGTTATTTTAAAACAAAGCAACAAAAGACGACTACAGCCCAAGGGTAGGCGCTAATGGTGGAGGAACACCAAGTTCTGCAAATGGTAGCCGAGACTTGCCCAGAAGGTGCTGTGAAAGTTGGTGTGAGCTGGTTTCCCAGCCGGTCCTCCACTTCACCACTATCTGGGAAATGCGCTGGTTTGGGAAATCGTGGCAGCAGAGCATTGCCTTTCAGTAAATAACACCCTGCAAACATACTGCTTGGCAAGTCATTATCAGTTACAGGAGACAGTTTATTTCCTACCTCGTTCTCCCACCTCATGGCTTGTTCCTTCAAGGTCAGACATCAGAAACATGTGTCTAGTGAGGCTGTTCTGTCCTGAGATGCAGTCCTACCTAGCTGGGAGGGAGCATGAATGTCTCTTGGCTGGGCAAGTCTGAGCTGCCTGTGTGCCTCCTCCTTCCCTGGGGTCTTATTGGGACTCTTCTGTGGTTAGAAAGGCTGGGAGAAAGCCGTCCATCCTTGCTCTGAGTACTAGACCAGCACAGACCTACTCTGCGTTTCCCGGAAGTCTAGCTTGTCTTGTCACAGACTGCCTGATGACCCTGTGGTGCACAGGGCAAGAGTTGAGACGGGGTCTGAGTAGACTGGTAGCCTTCCCTGTGGCACTTAAAGTCAGTTACTGGACGCCATGTAGGTAACCTAACCATGTGCATCCAAAAACATTCGTGCCTTTGAGGAGAGAGAGGGTGAGACTCCCCTTCTCTCCCAACTGCCCCACAGCACGTATAATCAACTGCAAGGCCCATTCAACCTCTGAGAGGCCAGTGGGAACACTCACCTCCTTATTATCCCCCAGAAGGTGATACTGAAATGTTGTAAGCAAAATTCGACTTGAAAAACTTTTAATTACGAAAAACCAAGGGTTCCAGAAGCACCTCTGTTTTCTGGGCACGTCTGTTTTCCCTATGGTCCAAATCAAACAACCCTCAGACTTTCATCCAGGGCGGGATCTCTGGGTCTCGAAATACGTCTGTTTCCCCCTGAGGTCCAAATTACAAATTACAAATACCAGTACAAATTACAAATACGAGTCACGAGTCCTGCGCAGGCTCAGGTCAAATTCAAGTCATGACACCAAACCAACAAAACAGCAAGAGGCATAACAAGCAAACATATAACATTGAACATATAAGTTGTGAGCTCGAATCATCTTACCTCCAAGATCGAATCCACTCAGGTGAGGGGTGGTCGCAAATCTCCGATGAGCCCCCAGATGTTAGACCCCCAGAAAACTCAGGTATCCGGGGTCCCAGGCCAAGACTTCGGTCACCCCAATCACCAGGCAGATTCGAGAGCTTGCAGAAAACTGCATGAGGCTTTATTGTAATTTAACGAGCTAACCCCATGTTAGCTCAGGTCTTCTGTCCACCCCCCATGGCGGTTGGCTACAAAAGACAGCTCCTAGGGGCTCCCGAGAGATCTTGTAGGGCAGCGTAAGGGGAGTTTCTAGGGGTACGCACAGGCTCAGGATTGGTGTGCCCTCCAGGCTTGGAGGGCTTGCCCTGTGTTGATTGGCCAACTGGTTGTTATGGCCCATAGGCCCTCCCAGGGTGGTTGCTATGTTCTGTGCATCATTGCTGTGTGCTTGTCCGTAAAGTACACCCAGGGTCATAAAGCATAGCACCACCAGCTAACTTCTGATTGGTTCCTTGTCATGAGGCAGGCATCTGACCTCTAAGTGACCAAGGCAAGGTTACTGTCATGGCTGTCGAAATGGGGAGCTGGTCCCTTCAGTATGTGAAGTGAGTAAAAGTGGAGTTTGCTTTATAAAAGCAGCTGAAATGAAAAATTCATAGTAACACCAATAACAATGAAGTGGTTTTGATGAATACAAAACTTTGAAATAGAGCACATGGTAGGTTACTGACCCGACCTTTTCCTTAGAACATGCAGACAAGTAATCACAAATGGTAATGTTATTTTCTGTTTCAAACCTGGGTTGCCAGGCTTGCCAGCAAATGGTTTTACCCATTGAGCCATCTTGCCAACTCAAAAATGGTATTTTTTTAAAAAATAAAATATACTTCTCAATTCAGGGGGGAAAAAGGGGGATAAAAAGCTCGTCGTAACAAAGGTACCCATTTCTGATTACATGAATGTACGGAAGTGAACTTTTTGTGAGGCAACACTGTAGTTCATTAAGAAAGAGCTATCTGCAGTGAGAAGTAGTGTTGTGTGTGCAAGACTTATAGGTAAGCAAAGGACTGAAGTTCATGTCCAAGGGTGTGTGCAGCTCAAAAGAAAGTCACAAGGTATGAACGCGTTAATTATTTCATTTTTAAAAGGTGCTTATATGTAAAAAGAATAATAAAAACAAAGTGTGAAAATGTGTGAGACACCTCCATACCAGTGCCTGGATTTGGCAGAAGATTGCCTGAGATCATGCAACACTCAGAGGGGTGTGTGTGTGTGTGTGTGTGTGTGTGTGTGTGTGTGTGTGTGTGTGTGCAACGCGCAATTAGAGAGAGCTCTTAGGAAATCTAGTTCAACCACTACTTAAGCCAGAGTTGCTGACACACAGAATTGAGTCTGCAGGTACCTGGACTTTGACAAAGGTACATGAATGGTGGAGCATGTTTTCCTAAAACATTCAGACCCAGTTGACATTAGAAACTAGACCAAAGCATTGTCTGCACTCTAAAGGACCTTCAGGTGTGTCTTCGCTCTCCAAGTCATAGTGCAAGAGCAGTAGCCATCATTTGGCTGCATAAGAGGCAGGGCTAGGAAAGTGCTGACAGCACACCTTTGATCTTTGATCCAGTCACTGGCTCGAGTGTAAAAGTGAGGAGGGCATAGTGAGATAGGGTTCTCTCTTCCCCCAGAGTGCTGTAAATTGCTGCCGTGTTCTTTAATAAGATCGATAGTGACTTTGCTCTTTATCACTTGGTGGAATGAAACAGGAACAGAATTCCCCAAACTACCCTGTCTGTCAGTGTTGTAATTACCAAACAGTTCAGGCTCCGAATTAACCTGAAGGAGTGGTTGCTTCATTGGGGGTCAGGGGTGGGCATGGGGCTGCAGCCTCTAACAGACATCTGCAGTGGTGAGCTGTGATCCAAACAACTCCCTCAGTGAATGCATCAGAGGGTACTAATGCCATTCCGTTCTCAACAGCCCAGTTTACTCAGGACATGAAATATGGAGGCCATGGGCCCACTGCATCAAGTAGTTTGATGCCAGCTGTAGAGTCTCCTTGGCTGACTGACCCTTGGGATAGAGGCTTAGCACTCAGCTTCCAAGAAACCACCATCTGATCAGCTTTTTCTGGCCTCTTCTTCTTCTTCTTCTTCTTCTTCAGGGTTATCAACGCCGGGAAGAGCACGCACAATGAGGACCAAGCCAGCTGTGAGGTGCTCACTGTGAAGAAGAAAGCCGGAGCCATGACTTCCACCCCAAACAGAAACTCCAAGAGAAGGTCATCCCTTCCCAACGGGGAAGGACTGCAGTTAAAGGAGAACTCCGTAAGCACCATCCCTGCCATGTCTTTGGTAGTCACCTACTCTAGTATGCCACTGTAGTATGCCAGGGCTTCATCCAGGTGAGAACGGATGCGGGAAAAGGTAGTCTGCAGATTCAGTGAAGCAGTGAGGCACCAGGGCCATCACACATTCCATGCTGAAGGTGACACGTGGTAGGCGAGGAGGCATCTGCATTTTTAACAAAGTAAACACAACACCAATGCTGTAAATAGTTTGTTTTAGGAGCGAATATATATATTATCTGGTGGTTTCAAAGAAACCAATTTCTCTGTGGAGGCGGTGACCTAAAAACCTCTTGTAAGCAGTGGAAGAAACCCCAGCTCTTGGCTCCGAGCCCAGCTATGACTGTGACCCTGTCTTCCCCTTCTCCATCCATTATACGTGACCGGTTGGAGCCTGTTCCTAATATTCCTCCAAGTTAATATTTGTTTCAGTTGGCCAGAGGCCCTTGCAGCCTATGGGATGGCCTGGCAGACCAAATGCCCTCCTAGTGACAAGCCCCAGGGTACATCCCCTCTCCAGTGTCTGGAGAACAAAGCAGATACCACCCCCAGGTCTGCAGGAGCCCCTGGAGAAGGATGGAGGTGTCCTCAACCCTGTGAGTCAGCACATTGTTCAGCCCAGTGGAGAATCAGCCTGTGGAAAACTCAGGGTACATTAAATGAGATGGCCCAAACATGACTATTTGTTCTAAGGATCTTTAATAGTTTTTTTAAATATAAAATATGCAGAATTTAAAAAGATCTAAGGGTTCTTTCTTAGCCCAGAAAATAGTATTTTGTTTCATTTAGGCTCAGAGAATAGTTAAAGTATTAAGGTGAGTTTAGAATCAGGAACACAGCCACCTCTGGGGTTCTTCGGCACTTGCTGAAGGAAGCATGGGATGAGGTCTTTGCCAAAGAACCCAAGTTAGGTCTTCACTGGAAAGGACAGGATGATAACAGTTACATGGGCGAGCTCTGCGGCAAGATGGCACAAGCTGTCTAAGACTCCCTGACTCATTAGCGTTGAGATACTTGTGTATTCTCTTAGCCTTTGGGTTTCTGTAACTCCCACATGATAGAAGGAAACTGGTGGTAATTGTGAAATCTAACACTGGTCTATAGGAATTTTTTGAGCCAGTCATTCATTGCTGAAAAAAATCCTTAAGATGAATAAGGCTGGAGAGATGGCTCAGTGGTTAAGAACACTGGCTACTCTTGCAGAGAAGCCAGGTTCAGTTCCCAGTAGCCACATGGCAGCTCACAGCTGTCCATAACTCCCTGCTCTGACCTCTGTGGGTACTGCATGTGTGTGACGCACACACAGACTCGTACATATAAAATTTGTCTGAATGCTTATGACACGTTAATTAACGATCTGTCTCTTAAGGGCAGTCCCTCTTCAGTCCCTGCGTGTAAGGCTCACTGGATTTTGTATGTATTCCCTTGTGAGTTGGGGGTTATGTAGTTCTTTCCCTCACTCCCGCTTGATGGGATTTTTGTGAGGGTGGACTTCTGGCTGGACAGAGCTCAGAAACTGAGTCGATGCTAATAGTGGAATAATGGAACATTTAGACATTTGTCCCCAGGCCAGTTGGTGGTGGTATTTCTCTTACTACTCCACTCCTCCATAGGGACAGTGAGAACAGGAAGTGTGCTCTTCAGATGGAGCCTCCAGCCTGCCAGTGATGGTTCTGAATCTTTGTGATACTTGTCCTCAGGGAGGGGCATGGAAGAGCTGGACAGAGTGGACACAACTGGCCGTTCATTTCTTTCCTGTTACTTTTTAGTTGTAGTCAAATGTAGGTAACTTAACATCTACTACTTTAACCATCTGAGGTGTACAGTTTAGTGGCATTAAGTTTGTTTGTGCACCTTCTCCACCATCAACCTCTGGAACTTTGTCATCTTCTCAAAAAGATGTTTCCCAGGGCAGTGGTGGCACATGCCTTTTATCCCAGTACTGGGGAGGCAGAGGCAGGTGGGTCTCTGAGTTTGAGGCCAGCCTGGTCTGCAGAATGAGTTCAGGACAGCCAGGGCTATGCAGAGAAATCCTGTCTTAAAAAAAAAAAAAAAAGAGGAAGAAGAAAAGAGAGATGAGTTTGTGCACGCTAATTCCCCCTTCTGCCTTCCCCTGAGCCCTTGGCAATCACCAGTCTGATTTCTTTCTCCATGAGTTTGACCACTCTAGGTACCTAAAATAAGGAGAATTCTGCAACATTTGTTTTGTTGTATCAGTCTTATTTTAGGATTCAGGATAACATCTTTGGGTTACCCAGGTTGTGGTGTGAGTCACCTCTGAAAGTTGAATAACTTTCCATCCAAAGCATCTTCCTCCTTTTGTGTACCCGTCACCTGTGATGGACACGGGTGTTGTTCACAAACCTTTTATTAAGGGTCTACTTCCATTCCTTTTGGGTAGCAGCCTAACACCTCGTAATTTCTGGATTCTATCCTAGTTCTGTTTTGTTTGGTTTTTTTTTCTGACAGTTTTGTTTTCCAGAGAGAGAGAGAGAGAGAGAGAGAGAGAGAGAGAGAAGAGACAGAGAGAATGGGGGTACCGATAGAGGCTGTAAGTGGAGCATCAGATCCCTTGCAGCTGGAGTTACAGTGTTTATAAGGCCAGTGTTTATATGGATGCCAGAGTCTGAATCCCAGCCTCCTGATAAAGCAGAAAGTCATCTCTCCATCACCATGATACTGTATTTTTGTGTGCTTTTTTGGCTCTTTATACATTATATGTGTGTATACATACATATATATATATATATATATATATATATATAATATGCATATATAACATATATTCATCAGAGAGTATGTATTTGAGTCCATTACATTTTTTTTAAGTTGTGTATCCTGTTTCGCCTTTGTTGGGGCGAAATGCCTGCAAACCATGACATCAGTTACTGAGTACACACTGTGTACCAAGAATGAGATGTTGGAGATTCGTCAGGAGGCATAGAGACAAAAATTCTTACCCAAGAGGCATTTACATTTACCAAAAGAAGCAGTTACACGTGGAGTGTAGCCTGGCATGGTGACACATGCCTTTAAACCCAGCATTTGAAAGACAGAGGCAGGCATGGTTCTCTGAATTTCAGGCTAGCCTGGTCTAGACAAGTTCCAGGGCAGCCATGGCTATATAGAGAAAACAAAGCAAACTCTAGAGTGTGCCAGGTGGTGAAGGCTGTTGAGAAGAAGGTGGCATTGAAAACAGTAGACGTGGAAGATAGAAGGGTAGCCATGGAAAACACCCTGAGAAGGCATGATATGGAAGAAGGGCCTGCTATCAATATGAGCCATTGCAGAGACCTGGATAGAAGAGCAGGCCCTGGGTTCTCGTGAATGAGGAGCAGAGACTAGAAGAGCTTTGTATGAGAGTGTGGTGCATCATCAGAAGGACCACGAAGGTCACCTTTGTATGCCGACTGCAGACATCACTAACTCAAGATGCTAGACACACTGATTTGGAAAAACAGTGACCCTCCCTCCCATTTAGAAAACATCCCATAAGAGTCAAACTAACTCTTGTATAATAGCACTTAAGGGGGCAAGTGAGAATAGCACAGTTGGAAGCTGTAGATAATCATAATATATTATATGCTTCATAAAAAGCTGGAAGGAAGGATAGTGGTGGTACAGGACCTACAGCCAAAACCCATCAGCGGGAGACAAATGAGGCAAACTCTGCCTGTTCCCCTGCGACTCCCTCCCTTCAGCCTCCAGACATATCGATCACCATGCCAGTGAGCTGAGCCCTGGGGTAAGAGGAGCTCTGTACAGCTCTCCTCCTGCTGGAGCTGGAGGAGAGAGAACCAAACCACTAAGCGGAGATGATGCAATGAGACCAGTGCAAGGAAGATAAGAGACCCAGCTTCTGTGGAAGCTGACATTTGAACTGTGATCATGAAAAGTGAACAGGAGGGTGCTGGGTGGCAGCGGCAGCACTGGCCTTTAATCCCAGCATAAACAGACAGAGACAGGTGGATCTCTGAGTTCAAGACCAGCCTGTTATACAGAGTGGGTTCCAGGACAGCCAGGACTACACAGAGAAATTCTGTCTCCAAAAACAAACAATAGAAAAAAAAAGAAAAAAGAAAAGAAAAGAAAAGAGAAAGGAAGGAAGGAAGGAAGGAAGGAAGGAAGGAAGGAAGGAAAGTAAACAGGAGCGAATAGACTGTGGTGATGTGTCATGCATATGCCATGCCTATGAGGCCCTGGATTCTATTCCCAGTAAAATAAAAATAAATGGAAATAAAAGGAACAATAAGTAGTTTAACAAGCAAATATTAGAAAGGAGTGTTTCTGATTAACCTGTGAGGTTCTCAATCTGTGGATCAAAACCCCTTTGGGAGTCTAGCAACCCTTTCACAGGGGGTGCATATCAGATATCCTGCATATCAGATATTTACATTATGATTCATAACAGTAACAAAATTACAGTTATAAAGTAGCAGCAAAATAATTTTATGTCTGGGGGCCTGCCTAACATGAGGAACTGTATTAAAGGACCACAGCCTTAGGGAGGTTGAGAACCGCTGGATTAAAGGAAGGTGCTTATGTAGACACGGATAGCAAGAGAGCCCCTGAGCCAGGGCATGCACGCTTTAGAAAGGAATATAAAGCAAATGATGTGAATGGTGAGTTGTTAGGGTCTGAGCCTGGGCTCTGGCAGCCTTGACAAGTTAGGGGAAGCCGCTCATCCTCAGTCCAATTAAGGGACAGCGTCATAGTGAAAAGGTAGGACATTGTTCAGTGTGACCACATTAGGAAGCATGAGGTCCCGTGACTAGTCCCCCACAACATCTACCTTCAGTTCATTTTCAGCGTCCTGACATGAAGTTTAGGGCTAAACAGAGGGTGATAACTAAGCATCCCTGGACAAAGTATGGTCCTGTCCATCTTTTAGTATCGTTGTCTCAGCTTCAGCACCTCCTGTAAGGTGGTCTGCATTGTATGAAACCTTTTCCTCGGAGACAGGCTTCCTGTTTGGCTGGC